GGCCCGTTTTTTTGAAGGGGGGGAAAGTACCCCCCCCCCCCCCCCCCCCCCTCGCTAGGCATACCGAAACATCCTGCGGACTATTAATATCATTCAACAGCCAAGGAGTGCGCAGGACAGACCTTGAACTTGGCCTTTTCTGTCTTGGGCAACGAAAACAACTCCCTCCCCTTCGAGACGACGTCATCCAACAACGCCTGCGGAATGCCATGGTTCAAAACCTGCGCGCGAGGGTTGTTGCGGTACGTTGCGGGGTTTTGGTACAGAAAAAGTGCATATGCATATGTAGGCGCACACTGAGTTCAGCGGAAAGAGGCCAGCATGTTTCATCGAGGATGATCGTACTTTGTTGGGTGCGGTCGAGCGTCAGTACGTGATCACATTCAGCGAGCATCAACAAACAGCAGTGCTGCTGTGTATGCATACAATACCAGGCAGGGACTAACGAAAAACGAAGTTGGTGGAAACTTAGGCGTTGTCCGGTGACACGCTGCTTGTGTGACACCTAGCACCACTTCCCCTCGAATGCGAGTACCCCGGGCAATACGCTTGCGTGGAAACACTACAATGGTTATCATCGCCGCGAGGGGTGATGAGAATATAGGTGCTAATACGCACAAGTTTTATGGTGCACAAAGCGTGTGTGGCCTGATAACAGGCCAATTTTAGATATGGTTGATGTCTAAATACCCCTCCCCCAATGGTATCCTTTGACATGCTGTAAATGCAGTGATACCTGGATATTTCCACTTCCCACTACTACGGCTGTCTCTTTCCAGGGCTGTTCCAACCACAGAGTTAGGTTCCGCCTTGATTGAACACTACAGAGTACGCAGCCCGGGATCCACCAGGCACCAAACAGCCGAATCACGCACTGAACCACATGAACACGAGATGCGACAGAACTCCAAAAATATCATCAGAGACGTCTAACATTGATTTGCGTTGCTGACATGGCCGCAGATTACGACATGCATACGTACATACAGCGACGCACCATCACATGGCTACCTCAAAACACCAGAAAAAATTATGTGAGGCCGAGTACAGCAGTATTTTAGGTTTGACACGTTTCAGTGAGAAACTTAATATTTCTTATCAATATTAATAACTATTTCTAATTAATATTAATAACACCCATTGTGTCATTCTCCAACTAATACGGTTCGTACACGGCGCTACTCTACGCTGCAGGGTATCGGACATCGGACCGTTCAAAACGTTGCTGTTGGGTACGCAGATTATGTAGTAAGTTGTGTGTCCAGCTAAAGCTGCTGCTGTGCAAAACCCCGAAGAGCCATCCTGTGGTCAAGAACCCATTGGATCGTGCCCGACTTCTGTGCACCATTCGCTTCACGGACCGACCACATGCATGCCGAATCTCGCACGTTGTCATCTGCCCCGCCTCAGCTGTGGCCGTGCTGGTTCAACTACGTACAGAGGTATCCGGGCTGCTGAATAGACCACGGCAGCATAGGCTGCTTGTGCGTTCATGATCTCGAGCACCTGAAAGAAACCCCACTGCTCGCAAGCCCTCGCCACAGCCTCTGCTGCTGCATCCCATTCCCCGGCGGAGTGCTGGTTTGTGTTGACTAGCGGAGAGATGTCGATGGTTGGAGGCTCGAGCACGTCGTGCGTTGTTGAGGCTTCTTCGCACGATCCTGTAGCGGGACATTGCATTGCTAGCTCCTCTGCGCAGACAGAGGTGTGTAACGACGCTAGCACCACAAGTACTGAAAGCCGCACCAATCTTCCCATCGTTTCGTTGGATGCAAGCTTGTCTTTTCAGTCCGTGGTCTGTGCTAGTCAGCGGTGTCGCTGTGCTAAGTGAGGAAGAGGTACTTGCCTGCTTGTCAGCAGTTCGGCTCGTTCCCGGGGGGGTCTGAAGCTGATACCATTTTGCCCCCCCCCCCCCCCCCCCTCCGGGGAATTTCCATATCAACCCAAAAAACACTGGAGAAACATTTAACATTTGATATTTCAAAC